AAAAACAAAAAATAACTGAAAGGTAAGGCCAGACCCCAGCCTTGGTTTTTATTAGATGTGAATTAAAATTTATCAAGTCTTTTTTTTTTTTGATTTACCAAAATTTGGCAAAAAATGGAAATGTGTTTAATTGTTAACCTAATTTTTTTCAGGTATGAATTCTATTTGAGATGGAAAGATTTTTATATGTTGATTGCTGAGCATTCAATATTTCTGAGGTTTCGATTGCTGAAAGCTGGAAAAAAAAAAAGCTTTTGTATGTTTTTCTTTAAAGTGAAACATAAAAAGGTATTTTTCAGGGAAAATTCCTTTTTCTTAAAGACATTTTCTGTTTTAAAAGCCAAAGCCTCTTTGGACAATTCCATCAAGTTGAGTGTGATTCTGTCAATGGCAGTGGAGTTGCATCTGTCTGCATTTGTTTCATCATTATTGACAAAATACCACAAAGCCACAATGTAACTATAGTGCTACTTTTGAACTATGATGTTGAAAGAGTACAGGAGGATGATACCCCATTGCAGTGTCAGGATATTATGCCGTAAAGTTGTGGCTCTCTTTGATTGTAATTGATGAGGAAGTGAATCTCAGCGGCTTGGTGAACCACTCAGCTGGTGAACTTAGGCCTAGGGTGACCATAGATCCTGGTTTGGCTGGAACAGTCCAGGATTCTGTAGGCTGGTCCTGGCCAGTTGATCAAAAGTTCTGGGCTGGAGTCCAGCAGAGATGGGGAGCAGCATGGTGCACTAGGCAGGCAGGCACTGCTGCTGCTGCGTGGCAGCAAGGCAGGTGGACATATGGTCATCCTATCTAAGATGCCATATCTGAGGTCCCTACATTCCTTGCTCCTGCACAGTGGCAGTGGTGCCCACATGTCTGGCTCCGTTGTTTAATCACCCCACAGCCAAAAAATCATCAAATAATTTGAACTAGCAAATATACTTGAGGAATCCTTTTCTATATGCAGGTAACTGTGAGCTCTAAAAGAAGCTAGAACTGTTGAATAAGGACTTTACGAATTGGTTGTCTGCTTCCCCAAGCAGAGTGTTTTCAGCAAGTTAACCAGTGCAGAAAGTAAAACAGCTGGTCAGGCACCTTTTTTGCCTATTGGATTTTGTACTCTTGGTGTGTGATGGCTGCTGTTTATATCTAAAGGAACCAAGCATCTTGGTCGTGTGTAGTTCAGGGTGTGGTATTTGTGCTTAATGCCTCCACGCTGTAGTGAGGAAGTAGCTTGAAGCATAAGAAACTGCACTGATGGACTGTCTTGGCTTCTCTTGTGAAATCTGACTTGGCCTGCTTTCTCCAGCCATACAGTACCCTGTTCCTCCTCTAAGTACCCTGGAAAAGGAGGCAGCTGAGCTGACGTTAACCATCTGCCCGTGGTGGAGTCCCTGTGGGGAGAAGGTTAACTCCAATGCAGCTTCCTCCTTCTCCGGGGTGTTAAGGGTAGGATGAGAAGCCATGACAGTCCATCAGGACAGTCTCTTATGCTTGGAGAAGTGACTAGTGGTTTTGGATGTTATATAGGCAACACAATACACCAGCCACATGGTGAGTAGGGCTGTGCGAGGCTTCAGACCGTGCTTTGGATCCGGAGAAGCTTTGGACACTTCAGTGTCTGAAGCAGCATGTCTGGATCGAAGCGCTGGCTTCGTTAGGCTTTCCGAAGTGGTTCACAGCTCCTGAAAAGCTTCAGAGCCGCTTCAGAGATCCAGCCATAGGGTATAATGGGGAATCAATGAAATATCTATAACTTTGTTGTTTTTTGTCTGATTTGGATAAAACGTGCAGAGATGGTAGCCTCTTCTGAGAGCACAAAGTCTGCTAAGTTTCAAGAAGGTCGGTGCAGGGGTTCAGGGGGAACAGCACGTCAAGCTGTGGACAAGCAAAACTTGTGACATGGGTGACACTATGTGTGTTAAGGCGCAGCAGGGTGAAAGCTGCAGTGTTGGTAGCCCCTGCTGCAGCCATGAAGCCTGCCATCTGTTGGAGAGATAAGTGCAGGGCACCCCTAGCTGCTGACTGGCAAAACTCGTGACATGGGTGTTTGTGCAACTGTGTCCGTCTTGGGGCACGGGTGGGAGAGACAATACCGCAGGCCTGGCTGCTAAGCTGCTGTTACCAGTTACCAATCAATCATGATTCACTCAGGGACCAGCTCAATACACAGTACCTAGCTAATGTAGCCAGTTAATTGGCAACGATTAACACCTACAAAACCACAGACTAAGGAGAGGAAATAATCAATACAGACAATCAACTGCCCCAAGACAGACAGTCAGTTGCACAAACACCCATGTCATGAGTTTTGCCTGTCAGCAGCTAGGGGTGCAGGGCCCCAGAAGCCCTGCACCGATCTCCTGAACATCTGGCAGGCTTTGTGGCCTCAGCAGGGGCTAGCAGGCCTGTAGCTTTCACCTTGCTGCGCCTTAACACACCCATGTCACAAGTTTTGCTTGTCCATAGCTTGAGGTACAGTTTCCCCCAAACCCCTGCACCTATCTCCTTGAAACTTGGCAGGCTTTGTGGCCTCACCAGGGGCCACCACATCTGCAGTTTTTGCCCCTCTGTGATTTAACACATACATGTGACATGAGTTTTTCTTTCAAGAATTTGGGGTGCAGTTCCCCTAAATGTTGTCATCCAAATCAGACAAAAACCACCAAATTACAGATATTTCATTGATTCCCCATTATACCCTATGGCCAGATCTCAGAGGTGGCGCCAAAGCTTCAGACCCGCTTTGGCCGGATCAAAGCAGGAACCCAGTCCGGAGCTCCAGATCGGATCACTGGCATCCGAAGTGGCCGGATCTGAAGCCAGATCAAATAGCTGCCTACCCACAGAGGCCTAATGCTGAGTTGCATGGCACCTCCTCCAAACATTATCTCCTGAACCAGTAGTAATGTAGCTGCTGAGAGATGTACATTGTCTTACGGTTAGAGTAGAGGCCTGGATAGTCAGGAGACCTGGATTCTAGTCCACACCTGCCACTGACTTGCAGTGACCTCAGGCAAGTTCAATAGGCCTCCGTTTTCAGAAGTGACTAGTGGTTTTGGGTGTCCTGCTTCAGAGATCTTAAAAGGGCCCTCATTTTTAGGAGGTATTGAGCGCTCTTAATTCAGAGATTTAGGTGCCTTCAAGTTGAGCTCCTCACAATTGGATAATCACTTTTATCACGTCAGAAATTTAGAACTGTCTGCATGTAAGATAAAGGGGAAGGGTGAAGGGAATACAGGCAGTCTTTGTAAAGTATTTGGAAGTCCCCACCTAGGGTGGGAGAACATTAGGTTCTCATTTGGTTTTGCTTAGCCTGCCCATGTGCTTATATTTTAGCACTGACTGATGTTTTAGTATTTGAGCAAGAGTCTCACTGAACTCAGTGGAAAGGTCAAAAGGAACTTCTTGCATCTCTGATGACAGGGGTCTGCCTCCTAGTGTACCAAAACCAATATGAAACAGGCAGGGCCCATTCAAGAGCATAAGGAAACATTTGTTCCAATCATACTAATGCTTTTTCTAAAGTAATAAACTGCCTGTCATATGAAAAGAGTGTAATTATTACATCTGGAATGAACAATATCCAAGGTTTTAGTTTCCCTTTCCTGAGAGCACCACAGCACTTGGCCTTTTTCCTGAGATCAAGGGGACTGCACTCAACCTTCTTACTTACATGTACATGAGGAAGAAGCTAGTTCCAAACTGCACATTTACTATGTGTTAATTTTTCGTATATCTGATGATGTTTTCTAGCACAGCATGCTATCTCAGTGTCTGTATAATGTATAGAGACAGCAGAAGGAACAAGAGACCAAATAAGATGTTATCTCTGACCTTGCTTTTTCAAATCCAACTCAATTTGGCTAACCAGGTTAGCTATTCCAGAATGTCCAGCAGTGCCTGATTTAATTAAATAGAGTGTCCAAATTGTGCTCTATGATACAAAGACTTTGTGTTTCTGTAAGATTCCTAAAACATATTTATCCAAGACTGCATTACACCTTTCAATTTACTGTTATTGTTGGCAGTTAAATCTGTAGATACTGGGAAATGATGTCTCGTGGTGTGGCAGTAGGCCAGACTGCCTGCTTGGACTGAGAGGGCGGGTCCTTGCAGGGATAAAAGAGGATGATTATTTTTCTTGATGTTTGTGCCTCTCCATCCCTGTAGCATGTCTCAGGTTTTCAATGGAGGGCACAACTGGTCCAGCTGGAATAAACTGTGTATGTCACTATGATCTAAGTAGGAAGATGTACAGATAACAAATCTGTGTGGTCAGATTCACACAGATGCCTTATTCACAGACTGTCCTTTGCTTTGGCCATAAAAGGTTAAAAGAAAAAATGCAGGAAGAGCTAGTTCTTGAGAAGTCCTGCTTAGGCATCTACCATTTCAATTGGTGCTAGGTACCAAGAAATGTTGAGGATCGGGCCTGATATGTCTTGCAACAGAATAATCCTAAAATACTTTTTCTATTGAGAGCCTCCTTCTGTTGAAATAAAGTAAGTGCTTATGCAGCATTTTAAAAAGAAAAGATAGGTTACTGAAAACTGCTGAAAATAAGCTAAAACTGTGTTAATTCACTAGGTGCACAAAACACAGAATTTGTCCTATGGTGGGTAATATATTCATTGTGGATTTCTAATTATCTCTTACAAATGACATGCATCCAATATAAGCTGTTGGCTTGGATTTTTTATAATTTGAAATAATATTTTCATTTTGACATTGTGAAACAAGTTTCTGTTATGTACAGCTTTCTGTAATGATAAACACCCTGCTGTGGGTAGATTCTTGGGAAAGCAATACATTCAAAGAGCCAAAGTGTAGTGCTTCTTAGGTGAATTTTTATTATATTAATAGTTTGTCCTGTCCTGCAGTTTGTATGTTTTGCATATACAGCAATGTATCAGCTTCAGAAAGGTACAAGAATCATGTTGATCATAAGCAAAGTGTAAACTTCCTTTTTTTTTTTTTTTTTTTTTTTTTTTTATTCCTAGCATTCTCTCCCTCCAAGTGCCTATGCCACAGTTAAGGCATACTCAAACTTTGATGCTGACAGAGATGCTGCTGCCCTTGAAACTGCCATCAAGACCAAAGGTAGGGGGAACCAGCACGCTCTCTGCTATACTTGCAGATGATAGACCTGATGTACAAACAGACACCTACCACCTAATCCTGGGCATTTTCTTTAGTGATTAGGGTCAGAAAATTGGCAACATTTTGTAGCATAATGTGAAACTGTTTTGAGCTTGTGCATCAGTCACTCGATAACTGTAGTTCATTCTTTCTGGGCAAAGTGATGTGTGAGCATGATGTGAAGTGCAGGCCCAGGGCCTTGGCTAGTAACTTCAGTGGGTATCTATACTGTTTATCAATAGGGCCCGTCTAAATGACGCATGCCGTGTCTACACAAGATGCTGACTATGCAGTCATTTAATATTTGTATAAAGAAGTACTAAATGACTGTGCAGTAACTGGAGCTACTGCGCAGTAGCACCACTAAATGGCTTTTTGGTGATGCTGACTGCATAGTAGCCTGTGACTACTATGTAGCAGCAGTGTGTCATACTTTCTGCCATGCAACGCTACTGCATGCAAGTCGCAGGCTATTGCGCAGTCAGCTTCTTGTGTAGATGCACGTGGCCGCAGTGCAGTGCAGTGCAGAGACACCTGAGCTAGCTCAGGTCCTGAAAGAAGTATGTCACATTAACACAGTGTTTTTCTGACTCTCTTGCGTATTTCTGCAGAGCACTGCATTGTGTTGTGTAGATGTATCTATCTCTAGAGACCCCACTGCCAGCTGATTGCCTTTTACTGTGATTTTGCTGTGTGGATCAGATCCTCTACCTTGGTCAGTACTTCTTTCTTCCAACTTCTTCTGTGGTGCATTGTTCTCAGACTTCTTCTAAGGGCTAGCCAAAAGATTTTCATTACAGTAGCTTTTCACTGAAAATCTGGGATTTTTTCAGTCTAGTCAATTTTTTGCAAAGTGTCTGTGTTCTGTCAAAATGGGTTTTTTGGGGAGGGAATGGGAAATTGGAGCTCTGGAATGCATACATTTTGAGTATGAAATGATGCTATATTACCTCATGAATTGGGAATTTCATGTTTCTAATTCTCCTGTATTGGCCACAGTCACCAGCTAGACTGTTTCCCACAATGCATGTAGTTCAGGTTGCACTATGACACCTCTTTGACCGTGGGACTGTAAACAAACATCTCATTCGGGGCAGTCCTAATTGTCTTGGGTTCTAACCCAGATCAAAATACGAGGGATATAGTCATTTTACATATGTAACCCTTCCAAGATGCATTGCTGACCCTCTGCCAGTAGGTGACCAGGGAGAGTGCACTGCCTGCCAGGCTTGCCCCTGGAATAATTCACCATTCACTTACAGATCTATGCAGGGGGCGAAAAAAGTGTCTGTGCACTTTCTCCCTTGCACGTCACAGGTCCTTAATGCAGAACAATGGACTTGCTCAGAGAAGAAATACGGCATCTGTTTACGAGACTGGCCTTCCACTGCAGAGAATAGCTTTGTAGACGCACACGTATTTGGAGCCCTTTCAGAAGGGAAGGTTTCCAAAAGGCAGAAACTGATGTGTTTGAACTGTTGTTTGTGAATGTGCTGAGAACAGTTCAAATGTAGCAAAACCACTCCAACTTTAACCCTGGATGAAGCAGTGGTGATCTCTTGAAACTTCCCCTTTTGAAAGGTCTCCAAACATACCTGTGTCCGAATCTGAACCTCTGCTCTTATTAGTAGGGATCTACTTAAATCACGGTTTTGTGAAAAATGGAGTTGACCACAGTATCCCAGGAAACCAACCAAAAAAGTAAAATGTAATAAAAATAAAATGCTGGCTCCCCAGTGGGAGCCAGAGGTCCTTCCTACAGTTGCAGCCTGGTCTTGCAGCCTGCCTAGGAGGGGAAGACCCGGGCTGGTGGGGCAGCACAAATGGCAGCCAACAGCCAAGATTATAGCCACCTCGTTGTCCTGCCTTCCTTGGGGCCTCCCTGTCAATCAGCATCAAGGGATGGGGCCACTGCAAAATTACCATGAAATTGGCTCTCTTGGCCACGACTGAGCTGCAATACTTGATTTCTGTCACCACAAGTTTGGGATAGGTCCCTACTCATAAGGCACTACAGTAACAGTTTAGCTTTGTAGCAAAATAATTATTTTTATTTTTAATTTAGAAGCTCAGTGTTTTGCTCAGGGGGGAGTAACCTTTCCCAGATATTCCTGTTACTGCTAGTGCCTGTCTGTATGTGGATCATTTGCTTCCTGCCAAGGCACAGTGGAATAGCTGTCCAAATTTTCCTGAACTGCAAGTAGAAGCGATTTAGCATCACAGCAGCTGACATGTAGTTGACACTTGGTTTAGTTGTGCAGAAAAAGCTGCCATGTGGACAGAATTCAGCCCTTTTTGTGGGAACCAGGTCAGAAAAGAACACCACAAACTGGTTACAAAAATACAGTTGTACTTGTATCGTGGACTACCCAAGAGGGGCCATAACAATTCTCATCCTGGCCCAGAACAAAGAGTGGGTGGGGTTAGCATTCCAGAGTCTTAGTTAATAGCAAAAACTGGGTGTGCCTGGAGCTGCTGAAGAGGTTTTGCCAACAGACAAAACAGATGTAAAGAGCTGAAGTATTTCTGAACTAAAAAGATGCTGAGTTCTTTATATCTGAACAATACCAGCTTTTATTCCTCTGCATTTGACTTGCTGTGAAATGTTAAGACAGCATAAAATGTTCTCCCTCCGTCATGATATGGCATTTCCAAGCTAGTGATACTTTCTCTTAAGAGGTTTGACTTATTTGTGTAATTAACTCTCTTGCAAAAGGAGGAAATAATTCATCATTTCATTCCTACAAATGAGGTACGGATTTCAAATCAGAAATTGAAATTTCTTTAAAAAAAACAAGGAGGCTTCCTGCAAGAAATGGTGCATGATTGGGGGGAGAGGGAGTAGGGGATGGCAGGGCGCATAAACACAAATGTCCTCATATTTGGCATTTGTGTGGAGGTTTGTCTGAGTGCAGTTGTCAACCAGTAGCATAACTAGAGGTGGATGAGAGGGCCCTGGGTACCAAGTTAGAAGGGGCGCCAGAATCACCCTCCACTTCCATGTCTTTGCCCCTGCTTTTAGAGCAACAGGTGGGGTGGGCAGATCACACACAACAGTAGCTCACCCAGGACAGTGAAGGAGTCCTGGCATGGGTCCCCCTGCCCATGGCCTCCTGAACACAGCCCTTGCCCCTGCTCTCAGAACCACACAGCCATCCTGCTCTCCTGCAAGTGTTGCCCTAGGTGCCAACTCTGTTATGTCACTGTTATGAACATTTGGCAGGACTGTCTTATATCAGTCCGTTAAGTTATTTTAATTTCCATTAGCTATCCTAGACAGTGAAAAATGTTTTCCTGTCAGGAAAGCCAAGCAATATTATCTTCTTTCAACAAAAATAAGCAATTTGCTGAATTTGTTTGGAAGATCTATGAAACATATCTGTGTAAAAGAAACAAATGTAGCCTCTGCTCCTCCAAACACTTCAATAAGGAAAGGAATGTTGTTGTAGCTGTGATGGTCCGGGCATTGTCTGAGAGGCTGTGAGTTTTTTGTGATTAACTTTTATTGGATCAACTGTATAGTTGGGGAGAACTGCTGGGCAAGCTTTTGGGCATCAAAACCTTGTCCAGCAGCTCTCCCAGTTATGCAGTTGGTCCAGTAAAAGAGATCACAAAATATCCTTGCCTCTCAAATAAGGAAACTTGTTTGTAGACTTTAGTATTATCTGTTATCCAAGAACTATCACTGAAAGCAATAGTGAGATGGCTTGTAAATGGAGAATTTCTTTATGGTTTTGATCTTGATCATTCCATTGAAAGGGCAACTATGCAAGGGAAATTAAGTCCCATAGCATCAAAACCCTTCCTTCGAGTTTGTTCTTTACAGCTTAAATGCTTGAATGTGAAGTACTAACACTAAGTACTATAAATGACCGGTAATCTTTCCATTTGCAAATTCCTTTAAAACTGTGCCTTTCTGAGTTTGCCAGTCAAGAATTGACCTCATAGAAAAACCCGTATAAAAACATATTAGGAATTCTTTCTGTGAGTAAGCAATTGAAAATATAAATAAAATTGTAACATTTGACAAATATGAATATTTTATCAAACCAACATGTGTATATAAGCACTTAATTATCACAAAGTACCAGTGATACCTATTTCCCTCAGAATGAGGTCTTGGTATGGCATTTTGGAACAGATAATTGTGTTACATAGATGGATTATTGAGAATAGTTCTGTATCCTCTTGTTTGTTTTATGTTAGAATGGCCAGACAGCTACATAATTCATAATAGATTAAAAGGAGAAAATCAAACAAGCGTGTTTCATGCAGCCAACCAAGCATTCAGCCACATCATTCATTGTATTGTTCAGCTTCTATAAAGCATGGAGACTATTAAAAGCTGGGTTGCTACTCATGTTACTGGTTTGAGAGCATACAAAATAAAAACTCTTTTCATCCCAAACCCACACCTTCCTTTTGTTCCTGGAGCCTAGACAATTGGTTTGTGAGAGTGATGAGAGAGATTCTAATTCTCAGAACAATCTTTCATCTTGTAATTATTTCATAACCACATTGTTGGGATTACCTTGTGCAAAGAATGCTAGGAAGAAACATTTGGATGTGGTTTTGTTATTGAAGGTTTTCCTTCTTAAACTTTGCTAAAAATATTAAGGTGGAATGGAAATTTAGTGGGTCAATGAGAAAAAGTGATAAAGTATTCCAGGTACTCCCCAACAGCCCAAGCACCCTGGATAACGAAGGCAGATTTGTTGGTTATGTGCCTTTATCCTAACACATGCCTTTATCCTAAATTGGGTACATCAGTTGTTTAGTCTCTAGGAATGCAGGAGTTTTTTTGCAAATTACAGTGTCCAAGTACTCCAAGACCAGCATTTGATATTCAGATTAGCTTCTCAGCTTTTAGTGTCATCTGAATCTACGGTGGAATTTGTCATCTGGAAGAAATGCTGTGGTATATCTACTGGGAACCCAGTGAATCAGTGCAGAGAAGTTAC